GATTCCCATTCTTAGTGTTAACTGTAATTTGTTATGATCCATATAGTCAAATGTCTTTGCATAATCAGTAAAACACAAGTAAACATCTTTCTGGTATTCTCTTTTTTTCAGCCAGGTTCCTCCTGTCAGCAATGATAACCCTATGCCACTGCTTCTTCTGAGTCTACCTTGAATTTCTGACCAGTTTGCTATTGATTGTATGTTGTTGATTGCTATCGAGTCGAGGATGACTCATAGTGACTCTATGAACAAAAGACCTAATGCCTTTCCATAGCTGTTGTCACTTCTCCAAGTTCATAGGGTTTCCAGAGGCATGTGGTTTAGGAAGTGGATGCCACTCCCGCTTCCAAATCTGTTTTACAGCTGGGAGCTTGACCAAATACTGTCCACAATGGGAAGCCATTGTGGTATTTGATGGCACAAGGTTCAGCATCACAGCAAACCCAGGTTACTTCATGAGCACATTGGCAAATAGGGATGTGTAAAGTAGAAGAATGATCCTTTAGATATAACAGCACTAGTCTTATTTAGCAGTGGTTAAGTGTTGTAGAGTTGAATAAGACTCATAGTAAGCTTTGCACAAAAGACCTGAACCCTTTTCTGTAATTAACATCATTTCTGTACATTTATAGAGTTTATATAGAGTTTCCAGAGGTATCTAGTTTAGGAAGTGGATGCCACTCCTGCTTCTCAACATGAATCAGTCTGAAAGTTCATTCAGACATTATACATAATGGATAACCATTATGGTATTTTGACACGATTATGGAACAGTGTTTAGCATCACAGCAACTCCAAGTTCAGTACAGCAAATAGACAAATGATTGCTGTGTCATTTAAAGAATATTCAGTCTAAAGTTAACAGGATTTAGGCTGGCCCACAGATCCATTGCCTCATTATGGATTTTAAAGCCATACCCTATAGCATGCCTCCACCCAGTTTTAGGCTCAAGGGCCACCTGCTTTTTTTGGGCGGGGGGAGAAATAAAACTTCAGCAAGATTTTACGAAATGGATGGATGTAGTAACTGTCAAAATAGGCCTGAATATGACTGAAATCATGACAGTGGCATAGAATAGGGCTAGTTTCATAGTGCTGCTATTAGTTGTAGTTGTCTGATGACACCTAACAGGAACAAGAACAATTGGACTTCTGCATTAATAGTTTACTTTAGTTTTTTTTTTTTTAATTTATTATTTTTGTGTGTGTAGTATCAAATTGGATCTGACTGGTACAGTAGGAGATTGTCCCTCCTTCTCCAGCAGTGTGGTGGATTCGAACTGCATACCTCTGTACAGCTTCTTGCCACTAGGCCACCAGAGCTCCCTAATAATTCACTTTTCTTTTAGCTTCTTGTTTTCTGTGTCTTCACTTGGTTAGACTTTTTCAGGTACTTGAATTGGATTTTTCATTTTCATACCTTCTTTACATATTCTTTTCACACTCTTAGTACCAGCAGTCAGGAAATCACAAGACGAATTGTATTAGCAAAATCTGCTGTCAGGGACCTCTCCAGAGTGCTGAAGAGGAGGACGTCAGTGTAGAGACTAAGGTGTTCCTGATCCAGGCCATGATCTTTGCAATTACTTGCAAAGCATCAGAGAGCCGGACGGTGACTAAGGATGACTGAAAAAATTGATGTCTTTGATTTGTGGTGCTGGAGAAGAGGTGTTGAACATACCATGGAATGCTAAGAGAACTAACAGGTCTGTCCAGGAGAGAGGGAAACCAAGCTGCTCTTTTGAGGCAAGGATTTTTGAGACTCCATCTCACATATTTTGGGCATGTTGCCATGAAGGACCTATCTTTGAAGAAGGATATCATGCCTGAAGGGGTCAAAGAACAGGACAGGAAAGGAAGACCTCGGAGGAGATGAACTGACATAATAATTGGGGTAATGAGGGTAGGTGTGTCAGAGACAGTGTGATTGTCTCAGGATAGAGAGGCAGGGTTCAGAGCTATTGTGTATAGGATCACTGTGAGTCATAGTTGACAGCATATAATAATATACTATCTTTAATATTTTAATATCTAAGAAACTTTTCTTGTTTTTGAAAAAGTTGTAATGGTCTAGTCTTTAGGGAGTTGGGCTTTTAACCCAAAGCCTGTGTCTCGACTTGCTCTGAGGGAGAAAGATAGGCCTTCTTCTCTTGTTTCAGTTTATAGCCTCAGAAAGCTAATGAAATCACTGTGAGCTTGAACGAGCTCAATAGCAGTGAGATGAATATCATGGATGCAGTATCTTTCTATTTCGTCAAGGAAATGGATTTATTTCAGCTTTCCTCTGCCTCCAGTACAATTTCCTTTGAACTTTTTTATTTTCATTTTTAATATGCCTGAACTCTGCATTTAAATTCAGACTAAAGATTCTCTCTTTTTTGCTTTTCTTCTTGTGTACTGTCAGATTGATCCAACTGGCACAGGAGGAGATTGCCCCTCCTTCTCTAGCGGAGCATCTGGTGGATTTGAACAACGTGCCTTCCGGATTGCAGTGCAGCTGCTTTCCACTAGGCCACCAGAGCTCCCATACTAAAGATTAGATATTAATAAACTAAATGGAAATTTTCTAGTTTTTATATTGAAATCTTGTCAGCTAGCTTTGATAGCTTGACTATGGAATGATCAGTTGACCACGGAGGTTTTTGTTGCGAATCAGATGTCCTTTTTTCATTTCATTAGGTTTAGGTATTCAGAAAAAGATGATCTCATAGGCTTCAAGAATGTCATCTAGCTTCTGAAATCTAGCTGGACAAGAACAAGTGTGGGAAGCATCAGCATTCATAAAATAAAAATCTTCCTACACATTCTGTATTTAGTTCATCTCTTTCCTCTACTTTTCTAAGTGTAAGGATTTCCTCTACTTTTCTAAGTGTAAGGTTTGTTAATTTCCTGGGTCATTCTGGAATTCCAGCACACCACTAATGTCTTTTCTCCTTTTTTAAAATTTCTCACACAAACATGTATGAGTATAGGTCTGTGTACACATGGCATAATTTTAACTTCTGGCTTTGTTGTTGTTAGATGCCATCAGCTGTGATCAGTGATCCTATGAAAAGCAGATCTAAACCTTGCCCTAACCTGTGCCATCCTTATGATCTGTGATAGATTTGAGCCCATTGTTATGATCACTGTTAGTCCATCTTGTTTTGCGTTTTCCTCCCTTTATCTGATCCTCCACCTTTCCAAGTATGATGTTTTTTTCCACGGAGTACCTTCTCCTGACAGGCCAATACATAATATGAAGTATCACCATCTTTGCCTCTAAGGAGCATCCTGGTTTCACCTCCTCCAAGACTTGTTTGTTCTTTTGGTGGACCATGGAATATTCAGTAATTTTCTTCAGCACCACAGTTCAAAAGCAGTGATTCTTCTTTTGTAACAGTCCATAGTCCCAACTATCAGATGGTTAGGAAGTAATTGGAAAAACCATGGTGTGGATCAGGCATCACCTTAGTCTTTAAACTGACATCTTTGCTCTTTTGGTGAGGTCCTTGACAACAGATTTTCTCAGTGCAACTCCTCTTTTGATTTCTTGACTGCTAGTACCATGGATGTTGATTTTTGTCCAAGTGAGATGAAATTTTTGACAACTTCAATCTTTTCTCCATCTATCATGATGTTGCTTGTTGGTCCATTGGTAAGGATTTTTGGTTTTTTGTTGGGATGCAATCCATATTGAAAACATTAGTCTGTTAACTTCTGCAGCAAGTGCTTCAAGTACTCTTCACTTTGTTCAAATTGTGTCATCTGCGTGATGCAGGTTGCTAATAATGAGTCTTAACTTCAGTCTTTTTTTTATTTAATGAAAATTTACAGACACTTTAGATTTCCATTCATTCATTGTTGCGCTTTTCTCCTTGCCCACCCCTCTGCCCCCAGTACATTCTTCTCTTTGAAAAGTAAAAGAAAAGTTCCCCCTATTGTTTTACAGTCCCTTCCCCCCAGTTCCACTCCACTGTGCAGTCTTCATTCTGAACTTAACTTCAGTCTTGATGCAACATTCTCATACAGGGTTTTTAATTTTTTTTCTTCCTCTGTTTAGTGTGGTTGAATTCTCAGATTTCTACAGATTCTACAGATTTTGAGTTTTGTGCTATAGTCAAGACTATCTTGTGTACATAAGAATATATACAAATCTTGTATTTTCTTCTATTTTTACAGTTTTCAAGTCATTCACCCATCTGCCATTTAATTTATAGCTATTTTGAGACATTTCTCTTTTATTTATTATTTATTTAATGAGAAAGCTTTCTACAATGATTTTAAAATAGCTCCATCCTATCATCTACTGAAGTTTTACATATACATCAGTCTGTTTTGTTTTCTTAGCCACTTTTCCGCTTGCTGATCCCTTTTTCTATTATCACAATAATGACCCACTTTTAGTCCCTATAGCTCTCTAGTTTCTGGTAGGAAAATTCTTGTTGGATTGTCCGTTGCAAAAATAGTCTCAGCATTTTATTTTTGGCTCTATGAATATTAGTACTTGTTTTTTCTTGTTTTCAAAATTCATTAATTCTAGTTACTGGGATTGCGATAAAGTTGTAGGTTTACTTAGGAAGAGTCATTTTGGACTGTTTAAAAGTCCGTCTTTATTAATTGTATAATTATACAGAAAATACATATATCCCTTCTCTTTGTTTCCTCATACACCCCTTTTAAGAATTTTATTTTTATTGCTACTTCTTAACCCCTGCTTGTATGAGTAGCAGTTGAATTTATTATATAGGGGTTTTTTTCTTCATGTCTTTTGTTTGTTTGTTTTTTTAACTTTTGTACATAAGATGATTTATTCATAGCAAATATGGTTACACAGTTCGATGGGTGTTTGGGGTTCGTGTCTTTTTTAAAAAAAAGACTTTTTAACTCTTACTTGTATGGGGTTTAATTTTCATTTAGTGTTGTGTTCTAAATTAAATAAATTGTGGGGTTTTTTTAAATTAAGTTTTTTAAGTTGATTTTGTCTTGTGAAAGTAACTGAAGAGTATTTAATTTTTCAGAACTTTTGAGCATGCTGTTCTAGCTGCAGGAACAGATTTCCGGTCTGACAGACTCTGGGAAATGTATATAAACTGGGAAAATGAACAAGGAAACCTGAGAGAAGTTACAGCTATATATGATCGTATTCTTGGTATTCCAACACAACTGTACAGTCATCATTTTCAGAGGTAGGTGGAAAAATTGGATCTCTGATTATTCAAATAATTACTTTCTAGTATTGTAGAAATCCTTAGATTGTAATTATTAAAGATGGCAGTAAGAATAAATTTTCTTTAAAAAAATGCATTTTCTTGTTTGGCAGTCAGAATTTAGATACTTTTGACAAAAAGTGGGGTAGTGTGTGTTACATGCTGAGCTGCTAAGCAAAGATTATATTCCTTTCCTTGGAGAAAGATGGGCAGTCTCTTCTGTTAAAATGTTTGGCCTTTGAAACTCGATGACATTGCCAGTAAGTCAGAATTGACTAGACGATAAATAAATTTTTTAAAAATTGACTACATAGCAGTGGGTTTGTGTTTAATTTTATTTTTACGTTGTTCATATGCCTTATGAACTTTAGGAATTTTAGTTTCCATATAGTAGGTTCATCTTACTTCATAGATGAAAGGAAAATAAGAATCTTGTATTTTATTTAGAGTAGTGAAGTTATAAGAAAAATAGAATATAATTTTAATTATTTCATTGTGGTGCTAAATTTTCATAGTGATTAGCATATCACAGTGCATTTACTGCCATTGAGTTGATTTTGACTAGATGACAGACCCAGCTGAGTATCTTTGTCAGACTTTCTCCACCTCATAGAAACAGATTCCATAATTTGTGGCACTGCTTACTTAAATACATTTAGCCTGATACTAATATTTTGAATTTGTTTCACCTGTCTTCTACATAGCTGCAGTTTCTGAATTTTTATTCTTTGTCTGTCTTTCCAGCATTTTATTAGATACTTACTCAGTTTTTACTGAATAAACCTTTGGTTTTGAGTAAATTGATGAAATCTTAGTGCTTAGCACATTTTTTTTTCTTGCTTGTTGTGTGCCATCAAATCAGATACTACTGGCAAAGGACTGTGCACCTTTGGAATTGCAGTGCAGCTTCTTGACACTAGGCCACCAGAGCTCCCCAGCATAGCACATTTTATCACTAATTTAAAGAAGTTACTATGTAGCACAACTTAAAATTTTATATCATATGTAGGGGTCCAGTTATACCTTATTTTAAATTTATTACCTATAGTCTCAATAGTAATTGCAGTTTTTTGGTTTTTTTTTTTTTATATATATCAATTTGTGTGTGTGTGTGTGTACCGTCAAATTAGATCCGACTGGTACAGGAGGAGATTGCCCCTCCTCCAGCAGAGCATCTTGTGGATTCGAACCGCTTACCTCTGGGACTGCAGTGCAGCTTCTTTCCACTAAATAGACTAGTTGTAATTGCAGTTTTAATACTCATGTGTTTATTTTTTAACATAGAAAATGTATAATTTTTTCCCCATTGTTGCACATTTTCTCCCTCATCCTGCTTGCTCAGCCCCTCCCCACGTTTCAGATTGTTGTTACACATATAATGCCAAATCATGAATTCTTTTCAGACAGTTCTTTCCTTCGTCTGATCTATTGCAGTATTCATTATCTATCCACTCTTTACCTAGTCTCTTCCCCAACTCTTCCATGTCTGTCCTGTTTTGTAAGAGCAGTGTTATGCAGTATTTGTCCTTTTGTAAATGAGGTAGTTATTGAGCATACTGTCCTCCAGGCTCACACATGTTGTGTTATGTTTTAGGAGTGTATTCTTTTTCAGTGCTGCATAATATTCCATTGTGTCAAAGTACTGTAGTTTTTCTATCTGCATTTGTTGATGGGCACTTGGGTTGCTTCCATCTCTTTGCTATAGTGAATAATACAGCTATAAACATGGCTATACATACATGTGGTTGGGTGATAGCCCCGACTTTTTTCTTTCCTTTATAATTTTTTTAATAAATCATAAATGTACAACAGCTTCTTAACTCTTAAAGTTTTTAAAGGAAAACATTATGTCTTATTACACCATGATCCTGGCTAATAGCTTTTCAAAACTTTGAGAAAAATCTTAAAAAAGGTTTCACATGTCACTTTAAACTTAAAAATTTAACATTATCAAAGAAGGGATGCTTCTACACTCTTAAAAGGAGCCCTGATTTCTTTAGGGTATATTCCCAGTAGTGGAATTGTTGGGTCAAATGGTATCTCTTTTTCCAACTTTTTGAGAAAGTGCCAGATTGACTTCGATTGTGACTGTACCATTTTACATTCCTAGCAGCAGTGAATAAAAGTTCCAGTCTCTCCACAACCTTGCCAGCCAGCATTTGTTGTTTGCTGGCCTGTTGAGCTTTAACTATTGTTGCTAGGAACAATATTTATTTTTATGTGACATATTTGGGAATTATAGGCTAATTTTTTATTCTGCTGATTCAGCAGGTCAAGTTTACCTCTTTACTGACTTTGCAAAACTTCATTTTTTATATTTTTTTCATACAGAATCTAATCTATCAATAATTTAAATATTTTCTAAGGATTGGAATATATAGTTAGTATGTGTGGAAGCATAACTAATAGTTAAGTTAAAGAGGTCTGCTTGGATAAGGCCCTAGCTAGGTTAGAATAGGAAAGACTTTTAGATTTTTAGTTTGAATGTAGGATATGACTGTTGGAGTATTTTCGCAAGAAAAAGATTATGCTTACTGTTTTTTAGTTTACTCTTTTGGGGGGGGATTTTTTTTTTTTGTAGATGAAAGTGCACAGCACATTAGCTTTCCTTTCAACAGTTTATAAATTATCCTGTGACATTTTATGTCTACTTTTTTATAACACTTAACAGTATTGGGATATGATTTTTAGAGGCTAGAAGTTCCCTTTATGTTTATCCATGGCAGAAATGAGGTGGGAAGACCTATATAAGAGGTAGAATTAGTAGAAGTGTATGAATGTATGTAATCTAGGTGAAGGGGTCTGGGGAGAATTTAGTAATTCACAGTGATACCATTAATCAGAGATTGGAAATACCAAGAGTGAAAACGATAACCTTAGTTTCTGGCACATTGTGTATGAGGTTCACATGGCACTTTTGAGACGTCCTGGTGGCTAAATGTCCTCAGCTGCTAACTGAAAAGTAGTTTGTTCAAACTTACCAGCTGCTTCATGGGAGAAAGATGTATCAGTAGGATTTCATATAGAGTAGACCCTTGGAAAGCCTGAGGGGTAGGGGTGAGGGTGAGGGCAGCTCGACTCTGTCCTGTAGAGTTGCTTTGAGTCAGAATAAACTCTACAACATCCATTTTAGTGCCTTAGCTTAGTGTTTTTATAAAATCAACTCAGAGGCATGTCGTTTAAATCTACCAGCTTCTGTGAGAAAGAAGGGCAGTTTCCTCCTGTGTGATTTATAGCCTCTGGAAACCTTTTGGAGGGTCAGTTAGAAGTTGGTTCTGACGCTACAGCAATGAGTGTTGTATGCAATTAAGTTTAAACCAACCCCCATACCTGACCCTCTTATGGGTTTTTAGAGGCAGTAAATCATGCCAGATTGCTCATCCTTCTCCTGCAGGACAGCCTTTGGGATTCCTGCATACTTCCCAGTATTTCCACCAGAGCTTCTCAGTAAGTATAGTAGTACTATAGAAGGAAGGAAAGAGTATGATGTTTTAGTTTCTTTTGAAAACCACAGAGTCTCTGAAGGTAAAGTGTGATAGAAATCTAAAATTACTTTTCAAATATAGATAAGCATTTTTATTGTCTTCCTTTTAGATTTAAAGAACATATTCAGAATAACCTGCCTAGAGATCTTTTAACTGGTGAACAGTTTATTCAGCTGAGAAGAGAATTAGCTTCTGTGAATGGACATATTGGTGATGATGGTCCTCCTGGTGATGATCTACCATCCGGAGTTGAAGACATAACTGATCCAGCAAAGGTAACCCAACTTATCTAAAAATTATCAGTTCATCAGGAGCAATGATTTTGAAAACTACTGTATATAACTTGGGAGGGACAGGACAGCATTATGTTGAGTGAACTAAGTCTCATAAGGACAAATACTATATAATACCATTAGTGTACTAATAGATCATTAGGTAAAAAAAATCCTTAGTACGTGAGATACTAGACCTCACACCCCTTTAACATACATACTTTACAATAATAGACTGTATAGCAAGCCCCTTTCTTATTGACTTCTAGGTTATTTCTGATCAAGATAATTATCTTAACTGTTGTAATTTAAATATAGATCTGAGGGAGAGAACCCATTTTACTAGGGAACACCTGGAAATGAAGCCATATTTTTCTTAGTTTTTATCTATTAGTCCTGTTTAATGATAAATACACATCCCCACTGACTGCTCTAAAAGCCATCTTTGCATTATTTCTGGTCCTGCTTATTGCTGCCACCTTCATTCCATGCTTTCTGTTCTGCTGCTGCTGCTCCCGCTGCGGATTCAGGCAGCTTTCTTCCCGCAGTCTCTGAACTTGCACTCTCTTGGAATCCACTGCATCAATCACCATTATGCCCCACCATGTCAGACACAGCCCTGGACACTAGCTCTAAGATCACTACCAAGAAGGAAGATGCAGAGAATGGAAGTGATGCCCCGCTAACAAAGAAAATGGAGAACAGAACGATGACAATGAGGTAAACAAAGAACAGGAACAGGTAGGGAGCAGGAGGAAGAGGATGGTGATGAAGATGAAGAAGCTACGGGCAAACGGGCAGCTGAAGATAATGTGCATGATTTTGTTCCCACTAAGCAGCAGAAGACTGATGAAGATGACTAGACAGCAAAAAAGGCAAAGTTAAATTTAAGAGGAAAAAATGTCCACCTTGACCCATTCCCCTTCTACTTCCTGGGTTACAATCTAAATCTGGTCACCTTTGAATAGTCTCACTGTCACCTCAGCAGCACCACCTGCAGATGATATACTCTCACCACAACTGAACTAAAACCACAACGTGAATTTGCAACAAGGGGAAGAAAAAAGGAACCACAATTCCAAGACCCTCTTTTTTTTAAAAAGCACTTTAAAAAGGAAAAATTTGTATTTTTTTATTTACATATTTGTACATATTGTTAGGGGTCAGCCATTTTAATGATGCCATGATGATCAGCCTTCAGAGCATTCTCTGTCTTCTGACTTTATTTGTGTTCATTATAATCTCAAAGGAGAAAAAAAATACCTTGGGGAAAAAAAACACCAAAATAATACAATCTTATTCTGAGCATTCAGTAACATTTTTTGTGCATTCACTTAGCTGTACTGTAGTTGGTTTGTATAAAATGGTTAAAAAAGCCAAAAATAAAAGGTTTCTTTTTTGTCTCTGAAGTTGCTGTAATACTAATAAAAATGCAAGAGGAAATGGTTTATTAGAAATTCTGTTATAAATTTTAATGTTGTTAACTGGACTTATATAAAAAAATGTGAACAATTTAAAATCAAGACCTGTCCTAAACTAAAATATCTGAGATAATGCCCAAATGTAACAAAGAAATGCAAAAGTATTTCTGTATACAACTTTTGTGTTTGAAGCCTTCCTTTTTCCTCCCAAGCTTATTACAGAAATTGAAAACATGAGGCATAGAATTATTGAAATTCATCAAGAAATGTTTAATTATAATGAGCATGAAGTCAGCAAAAGGTGGACATTTGAAGAAGGTGTAAGTGTTTTCTCTAATCTTCATAAGATAGGAATAATTTTGATAGTAATATCTATTTTTGCTTTATTATTTATTAAAGTAATAGTATGTGCATTCTGTTAATTGATACCATTACCAGTTTTGTCCTGTAGAACTCCTGTGTGATTATGTTTCCCCTTTTGACCAGTGTCTCTTAAGTTTAGTTGTGCTGTCTCCACGGGAAGGTGACGTGTCCTGTAGAACTGTGTAGATTATGTTTCCCCTTTTGACCAGTGTCTCTTAAGTTTAGTTGTGCTGTTCTACACCGGAAGGTGACGTGTCGTGTAGAATCTTGTTAAATTTAGCATTGTTTGAATTAATTACAGGATAGCAGCTTGATCTCAATTTCACAATCATTGTTTTAAATTAACTTCACTGTAATATATAGATGTATATACATATATGCACGATAAAATGTACTTTTTAAGTATACAGTAAAATGAGTTATGACCAATCTATAAACATTATAATCACCGCCACAATCAAGATGTGGAACATTTTCATACTTCTAAAAACCCTGAAAGACCCCCTCACAGTCCTCATTTCCCCAGCCTACCTTAGCCACAGGCAATCTAAAATTCTTAGTAAGGTGACAGTCTGAACATAACAATTAAAATGATTGATCAAATAGAAAATAATGCTTCTATTTCTTTAGTTCATAAAACCAGAGAAAATTAAAGGATTTAAGTTGTTTTTTTAAGTAATGAAATAATTGTTAATTTTAAAACTTAATACAAATAAGTTTAAATAAAATTAAATTTTAAGTTTCATTGCCATGGCATATTTTCATTGCAGATTAAAAGACCTTATTTTCATGTGAAACCATTGGAGAAAGCACAGCTGAAAAACTGGAAAGAATATTTAGAATTTGAAATTGAAAATGGGACTCATGAACGAGTTGTGGTTCTTTTTGAAAGATGTGTCATATCATGTGCCCTCTATGAGGAGTTTTGGGTTAAGGTAAGAAAATTATATGTTCCTAAACTTAAACATTTATAAACATTGATCTAGTGACTAACCTTTTTTGTACTTCTGTTGAATGTTGTTCATATAACTATATCTGTTGCATTAGGAGATGGTCTGCTTGCAACCAGATTTGACTGCTGCATATGCCAACCTCGTTGCCTCTCTTCGTCCTTCCTTACAGAAACTAGTCTAGTGGTTCAATAAAGGTGCTGAATGGGTTTAAAAATAGAATTTTATCGTTCTGTCACATATTTAATGGCTTGCTCAACTGTACATTATTCAGTATTTTCTCTGTTTCCGTATGTAGTATGCAAAGTACATGGAAAACCACAGCATTGAAGGAGTGAGGCATGTCTTCAGCAGAGCTTGCACTATTCATCTTCCAAAGAAACCCATGGTGCATATGCTTTGGGCAGCTTTTGAGGAACAGCAGGGTAAGAAAGGACTTTGTGTTGATGTTTTGGGTTTTAACATTAAGATATCAGGATAACACTAAGAGTTAAGAGGGATGGTATAAAGCAGAAGATGGCAAACTTTTCCTATTGGGGGGGGGAATTTCATACTGGGCAATAAGGTTTCTACTTAATCTGCTATTGGAACTCAAAAGTAGTCTTAATAAATATATGCGTATGACTGAGAACAGAAGCAGGTAGAGGGCTGGAGTTAGTCCCTGGGCTGTTCTTTTACAACATCTGGCATAAATCTTTTAGAACTTTAAAAACCTCAAACCTTACCATTTCCAGGTAATATTAATGAAGCCAGGAATATTTTGAGAACATTTGAAGAGTGTGTTCTAGGATTGGCAATGGTTCGTTTAAGAAGAGTAAGCTTAGAACGACGACATGGAAACATGGAAGAAGCTGAACATTTACTTCAAGACGCCATTAAGAATGCCAGATCAAATAATGAATCCTCATTTTATGCTATCAAACTGTCCCGACATCTTTTCAAAATACAAAAAAACTTTCCCAAATCAAGAAAGGTGCTTCTGGAAGCCATTGAAAGAGACAAAGTATGTATTTTTATTTCTAAGAATGTTTCCATAATACCCACCAATCAACCAAGGGTCAAATTTCTTTCATTTTGGCAACTGTGATGACAGATTTTGGTCTGTATATATTTTATTACTAAATGAAGACAACAGTCCCTCTAAACTGATGTTGCCATTCCTTTTTAAGCAATTAGCCTGAATTAAAAATTTGAGAAGAGATTCTCAGATCAGAAATATTGCTGAGATTGTAACATTTACACAGCAGAGTTGCTGATTATTAAAATACAGGAGAATATTTTAAACAAAAGCATGGTACTTGGCTCCATTATTTCAAATAGAACATATTCTTTTCAAAATTAAATATTTTATTTACCAACTGAGAAAAGGCTATGTAGAGGATTTCTCGTTCTTGAGTTTTCAGTTATTGTTGACTGTTTAATAATTTCCTTCCAGTTGTAATTTATAATGTCTTTAATTTGTACATATTTCTAATTATCAGAGATTGCCAAATGATACTTAGCCCAAAGTAGGACTTAAAAGTTTTAATTTATTAGCATTTAACAATGTGCATATAGCACAGGAACACCCTTGGATAGTGTCAGTAACTGTCAGTGTAATATTATTTTCAATCCTTAGATATATGTTGATAAAATTAACAGGAGTTAATAGTACTACATTTTTAAAAATTAGACATAAATAAGGTTTTGAAGTATCTGTATGCTAATGGAATAATTCTAGAAATACTACTGATACTGCTTTTTTACACAGGAGAACACAAAGTTATACCTCAATTTACTTGAAATGGAATATAGTGGTGACCTCAAACAAAATGAAGAAAACATCCTAAATTGTTTTGACAAAGCTATACATGGTTCATTGCCTATTAAAATGAGAATTACATTTTCTCAGCGAAAAGTGGAATTTCTTGAAGATTTTGGTTCAGATGTAAATAAGTAAGATATTTTATTTCTTTGAATGATTGAACATTGATATTTTTGGGTAGGAATTTTTTTTCTTTATTTTATTTTTTTTTTTTTTTATGTGTGTGTACTGTCAAAATCAGATCTGACTGGTACATGAGGAGATTGTTCCTCCATCTCCAGCAGAGCATCTGTGGATAGGAATTTGATGTATGAATTAATGCATTTTTATTTTAAAAAAGGTTTGCCTAGGTTGTTACTTTTCCTTAGAAAATGAATGGATGAGAGAGGGCAAGAAGCAACACTCTAGGAAAATCAGTCAAAGAGTGAGTTCTAAAATACGTAAACACTTAGTAAATAGATAAGTGAATGCTATAAGTAAATCTGGAATAGGAATGCCATTTATCTGAGATTAGAGAACAGGATGGATGTGGTCTCACAGATTATGCCTAATGCTTTCAGTTTTCTGCATTACAGAAATCTAAAAAATGAGGACAGTAGAAGGGTTCACTAGGGGACCTCAGAAAAAGTAACAAGTTTTAAGGCTTAAATTTCCTGGACGTAAATGTGTTGGTTAGAGTTTTACTACAGTTTGGGTCTCTCCTGATTCCTCTTATTTTAGAATGATTCCACTGAAGTAATTGTGAACTTCTATTGAAGTAATTGTCTATAATAATTGTTACTAAAAAGGAAAAAATTGTTTTCACTGTTGAAATATATATATGATGGTATTATAAATTTTAAGTAGTTAATAGCATTCGTGTTTAATACTATTAAAATGTTTTACAGAAATTTTCTACAGTCTTAATGTTGGTTTTAAAATTGTGATTTTAACAGATGAGAGATTTAAGATTACCTGATCCTTTTAAAAGTAAAGCTAATAAATTGTGGGGCTAAGATTAGATGTTTCAAAGTCTGCTCTTATCTATACCATGTACTGTATATTAAAATGTTTTAACACTGAAGTACACAAAAGAAATAGCTAAGTGTATGAGGTAGCCTATAACTGTTAAGGTTGTGATTGCTATAGGTCATGGTAAACTGAGTTCAAAACTCAAAAGCAGGGAGCTGTTTTGACCAGTGAAATTAAATGACATCTCCTTTGATTTGACAATAATCTGTTGACTTTGTGTTGTTAAAACAAAGCAAAAAGGTGTTATTAGGAGGCCCTTTTAAGTATCAGGACTAAGATTGTTGTAGTTGAAAATTGAAAAAGACAGGAAAAATAAATGACAAAAATCTAGAAGAATTGACACTTCAATCAGATACAGGGTATGGCCTATCTCTTTGAGTGGTCTGGTTGTGTGTCATTCATTCCCTTTGACAAATGTTTTGCCATGTGAAGATTGAATCTCTTATCACTTATTTTATAAGGTAGGTTGCATTAATCCACATAAAATGCATAAAGTGTATTATGCAGTCCTGCCCAGGAAGCTGAGTTCGGGATGTTTATATAGATCATTAACCTCATTTCTATAAAAATATATGTATTGGCGAGCTCTGGAGGCCTAGTGGCAAGAAGCTGCACTGTAATTCAAGAGGTGCACAGTTCGAATCCACCAGATGCTCTGCTGGAGAAGGAGGCACAATCTCCTCCTGTACCAGTCAGATCTGATTTGACGGTACACATACACAAAATAATAAAAAATAAAAAAATTTAAAAAAAAAAATGTCTTGTTAAATAAATATATATGTATTTTCACTTCAAGTGACATTTTTTAAAATTCCAAGAGAAGCAGTACAAATCAAGCCAGTGTATATTAATACATTGCCCATGCACACTTTTAAATTGACAAACGTGCTTAGAAACACATTTTGTTATCATTTGCTGCAATGTGTTAAAAATTAACATGTTTTATGTTGTTTCCATCTGTCACTTGGCCAGATTGAAATTTTATATGTACTTGGTGGTGTATGTAAACTATTGCTGAATTAGCTCTTAGCCATGTATATATAGATTCTACAACTGTCAGGCTTCATTTGTTGCCCTGGACAAAAGTCCAACAGATAAAATTATTTTTATGTGTCATCATGCTGGGCCATGAGTCTCAGTAACTTAGCTGTTACAGAATGAGGAATTTGACAGTTTTGTAATCTAGTGTAGTAATCTTTCATTTTCACATAGTGCCAATTTTTGCATTGCAAGTTTGGTACACACACACACACACACACCACCCCACCCCCATATACACACACACACACATCCTTATTAAATGAGGAGTGGGTATATGGTACAAACAAGAAGCCTCTTCTGGTGACTTGTAGAAATCTTGGGAATTACCTCTCAACTAAGTGGTATATAGTAATATATTTGGCTGTTGTGGTACTTTGGTTGTTACTCCTTTGGATTTACTCCGGTAAAGATTTATAGGTGAAAACATTACGTGGGAGTTTTCTACTTTTGTTTTACATCACAATCTAATTCTGTGGCAGTGGGATTGTTTTTTTACTATCCCTGGAGACACAGGGTAACCACATCAGCTGAGAATGGAAGCTTGGGAGGGTGGTCAGGAAATGTTTGCAAAGGTAGTTGACTGGACTTCACTTTCTAAGAAGTTATTAAGTTAGTTATATAAAGTTTTTGTATATGTCAGAGAATTTACTCCCCCCTTTTTTACCTCAGGCTTTTGAATGCTTATGATGAACATCAAACACTCCTGAAAGAACAGGATTCTTTAAAAAGGAAAGCAGAAAATGGGTATGTAACTTCTTGCTAAATCAAGGATGCTTAAGGAAATGCCTTTAAAGACAAAATCATTTAAAAATTTAAAAAGTTAGGTGCTTTTAAAAGTATTTTAATGAGTAATATTAAACTAAGAATGAGAATTCAATAAAATGTACACAAATGGGATTCCTAGCTTAAAGTATGTTATTTGTTGGAGTTTTAAGTTTCCATTTTGATCTTCTAGATCAGAAGAACCAGAGGAAAAGAAAGCACACACAGATGATTCAGCTTCATCTGCACAGATGATTGATGGTGATTTACAGGCAAATCAAGCTGCATATAATTACAGTGCCTGGTATCAAGTGAGTTCACATGACCATAATTGAGGCTCACCCCCTGCTATTAGCATAAATATAAAACTGTTTGCTTCTGCTTCAAATGATATACACTTCTACACCTGTTTAGTGAACACATGCTTATGTTAAGCATACCTGCCACAGTTGTAATGTATTAACTAGCATGTTTACTTTTCCCTTTCAGTATAATTATCAGAATCCCTGGAATTATGGACAGTATTATCCACCTCCTCCAACCTGATGAGAAGATGTCAATTTCAGCTGCTGTGTGTAAAAAGTACAAAATAATTTTTTTAGTGAGGGATGTAAACATAGCTTGTCTTCCCTGTTTTCTGTGTAACATGATTTGTTTAGTAATAAGTAAAAATGTCATTTCGTAGCTTACCACAGATACTATTTCCTACCATTTATAAAATTTACTTTTTATTGGAGAACTATTTTTTTTTTAAATTTTTTGCATTAAGTTGTCTAGAATAATTTTGAATGCATTTGCAGCCGAGTTTTGTAGCCTTAAGGGTTGGGGGGAAAACACAAATGACTGCAAATCATGTCAGTGAAGTACAAGATTTTGAAAACTCAAAAGGGCTGGCTATCAAGGATTTACCTCCTCTGTAAAAAAACAAAACTGATTTTTAACCTTTGCTGACAATGAGTCTGTCTGCTTGTTTCAGTTATCCTTGCTGTGAATTTGGTTCTTGGAGAAAGCTGTGAATTTGGTTCTTGCAGAAAAAGTACACTATTAAATACTATGCCTTGGACTAGAGATTATAATTGAGAAAGTGGAATGTTTGCATCCTTTAAAATGAAGTCACATTGCAAGTATGTTGTTTTAGAAGACTTTGTATTTAGAATATTCATGTAAAACTTGTGAGCAAGCTTTCATTTTGATCAAACTGATCATCTTCATTTTTTGTAATAAAACTGAAGACTTATCCAGTAATTGTCTGTGAATTTGTGTGTAATTACCTAAAAATTACTGCTTTGCTTTTATCATAATTAGTGGCTCCTAAAATGTAGACTATTAATGCCAAAATTCTCACAGACCTTTAAATGTTTTCTATTTTTCCAACCTCTGTACTTCTCACTATATGGAAATAAGATTTTAAGATGAGCATCCATGGCAAATACTTAATTCAAACACTGTTACCACAGATTTTGTTAAGTATTTATCTCTCATGATCAGTATAGTGTTGGTTAAATTAATCAAAACATTAAGAATATTAAAGTCAGATTAAGACAGTGAATAAATCTGTATTGAGCCGTTTGGTTTACAACACAGGGTAAAAAGAAAATATGTTTTCTTTAACCAATATTTTAGAGAGTCATAGTAAAATACTTTAGACTTACAGGGATACATTTCTCAAAAATGAAGAGCAAGTAAACAGATTTCAACTTGACTCCTTGAAATCTGTCTTAAACACAACAGTAACCAACTAATGTTATTCAATGCCTTTTTTAAAATCTTTGTTTAGATCAATCAATATCCACTAATTCCACTTCAAAAATTAGTTTTGCATTTGGTGGAATTCTGTTGAAGAAGTCAAGGTAGATTTGGTATAAAACAAAACAACGTGCCCTTACCCACATCCTTAGTCTAAAAAGTTATTTTCCTTAGTGGAAAACAGAGATATTACAAATTTTAAATTCAGAGAATGGTGTGATTTGTATACATCAGAAAAGTCTTATGGGAGAGGAGGCCACAATGGCTAATCAGCCAAACCCCAATGCTGCTGTTGCTTCTATTCCAGTTCATAGAAACACTAATGGACAGAGCAGAACCAGCCTCTAGTGTTTCCAAGGATGAAATCTTTATAGAAGCCTCTTCTTTGTCCACAGAGCAGCTTTTGTGGGCTTAAACTTCTCACTTCGTTAGTAAATCCACACCAACAGGGCTTCTTGACAGTATAATCTAAACCCACTGCCACTAAGTCACATCCAACACATACCAACACTTGAATTTCTGTAAAATCTTTGAGAGGAAACTGCCTGTTTTCGCCCTGTGGAGCAGCTGGAACTATGGCATCAGGGCTCCTTTGGCAGACTTATATCCCTAATGAATTTCAAGTGTTAAGAGACAGAACCATTTCCCGTATGACCTACTGGGTCATGGATTTTTGACATTTGCATGAGTTAATTGTCATAGGTGTAGGTCATGGATTTTTTACATTTGCATGAGTTAATTGTCATAGGTACAGAAATATAAAACTGTAAGAATCATTTCTAATTGCTAAGTCATGGCCTGTTTTTTGTCTTAAAATCTTGAGTCTATCACTCAAGTATTATAATCACAAATATTTATTACTGTGTTGGTCTTAGGTCCTTGTGTTTGGATGTAACTGCTAATGTAAAGTTGGAGGTATTAACTCACCCAGTAGTGACAGAAGGAAGGCCCTGTTAATAGAAACCGTTGTGGAACAATTCTACACCCTTAATGAAAGTGTGCCCCTAAGTAGGAATCAACTAGACAGCAACGAATACTGTTAAACATGGAGTGACCTGTTTCACCATTGTTACACCCCAACACTTACCCTTTTCTCCTTTGTTTACCTACAGTTAATTACACATAACCACCCTTAATATTAAATGATCATGAATTCCATTTCCACTCTAATTTTGCTAGTTATTTTGAAGAACTTTCTACCTTTAGAAAATATTAATATCTATATTAGAGATAGTGGCACAAAAGCATCTAAGCTGTCAAGACTAATTTGGACAGAATTTCTTATCTTGAGGTTATCAACTCATTAATTCAGCCAATTTCTGTTAGGATGTTCATTCGTAATTATGAGGGAAAAGGATACTTGGCATCAGGTTGTCCTTTTTTTCCATAAGCCCATTCTGGTTCAATCTCTAGGCGAGCCTTTTCTCCCTTACTCATAGTCAAGAGGGCTTCATCCCACTAAAATAAATATAAAAACATAAGATCTTAAAAAAGACAAAACATGCAAGATTAGCAGTTAATTAGGTCTCTAAATCTTTGGCATCAGTATCCTAATGGAAAAAGTAAGGCTCTATTAAGCAGTGCTTTCTCAACACAATTGGCCAGGCTTCTCAAATTATCCACATGAAAGCACTTTGGTAAAATTTTAACATGTCATGTATTATTGAAACCATTTTGGCATTATTAACTATCTGTATTTTTATTATATTGAATATAAATGTTTATATTACCCCAAGTATGAAGAACAAGTTCTGAAAACTTCCATATAATTGAAATATTTCAGTTGTCAGCGTTAGATGTTCTGACATAACAAAGTTTCTTTTAAGCAGAACAAGTGAAAAAGGTATATTAAGAAAGTGAAACAGAAGCATAGCTAGTGAATGGTAGGCTATGCAAAAGAAAGAAAAAGGAAAAGGAGGACAGGACTCCTAGAAAGATAGGGGTAAAGCATGCTGTCAGCAGAAAATAAGAAAAAGAGCATTAGCATAATTTTCAATCCAAGTCAGGAAGTTCACAGCATAAAAAAAAAGCTGCAGGGATGCTGACAGCCTTGCTCTTATTTGTATGCTCTAATGGACAGTGTAGCTAAACTTTAACTTTCTGGTTACTGTTTTCTTTGCTATCTTTCATATGTAAAGGTGGGAAAAAAGCATGCTTATATTTGAAGATTTTTCTGGTGTAGAGGCCCTAGCTTGTAAAAGAAGAAGCCATAGACTTTCACCTCCATCAGTAAAGGGGTAGAGCATAGATTTTACCTTTCTATTTACAAGTGGTTCCGTGGCTATTTAACATTTTACAAGACACTTAATTAGGCAAACATTCTTTAAATTACCTCATGAAGAATAAATAAAAGGGACGGGAATAGGAGGAACTAATATTTGAGCCTCTACTATTTGTTAAGGGGAGTTCAAATAGCAGTCTGAAGAAGACTGCACTGCTGACTCAAATGTAGTGCCTCTGCTAGTTAAAATCCACCAGCTGCTCCACAGGAGAAAGATCAAGTGAGATTAACAGCCTCTGAAAATCCACGGGAGCATCAACCATTCCTTCAAGTCATTTCTAACAGTGATGTCACAGAGCAGTGTTGTCACTACATTGTAGGAGTCCCAAAGCTGTAAATGTTTACACAGTTGACTGCGACGCTGATCTCACAGAGAAGCTGATAGGTTCAAATTGCTGACCTTTGATTAGCAACACAGCACTTAAAGGATGCATCAGGGTTCTGTATTTCAACTAACCCTGTAGTGGGCAGTCAGTAGTAACTATCCACATTTTATATATAGGGATACTGAGACCCGAAAGAATTTTCTCTTATTTGTTAGCTATATGATCTGACTAGAAGATCATATAACTTGGGTTGTGGTTTGGTTTTGTTTTCAATTCTAATTCACAGCAGCATACCACAGAACATGTGCTATTGTAATTACTTACTCCTCTGATAACTTTACCAACTCCAACCTTAAAACTTAAAGGCTTGGCGTTTTTCTTCTTCTTTGAACCTGCAAACAGATTTTCCTTAAAATTAATGATAGAATTTTACTTTTCTCAAGAATATAACTAGTAGGAAAACAAAAAGGATTTCTATTTCCTTCAGAATTTACAATGCTATCTTACATAAAAATTCCTAAAATCTGGGTAATTAATAAGACAGTTCAAGAGGGGAAAAACAATATTTAAAACAATGAAAAGAACGTACTAAGCTAAAGCTTCACTTATTTTTGCTTTCTAATGGTCTATGTCTTAATGAGCTCAAGATCTCTTTCAACAAAATCGTAACATGCAAAAGACCTTTGGGGAGAAAAGTAGGTAACCAAGAAAATGGTACTGCTAATCACCTATATGCCTAATATAGAAACAGTTCACAGTCTATGATAGAAAGAGTCACTTACTTGTTTGAATATTAGTATCAAAAACAGTACCATCCTGTAGTGTTCCTGTATACCAACAATGAACAACATCTCCTTTTTTAGGAAAGTTGGTTTTATCTCCCTTTTTAAGAACAGATTTTGTATATTTTGGTGGGCCCTAGAAACAAAACCAAACAAAAACAGCACACATACAAACAATAACTATAGAGCAAACTGTGACCAAGCTCAAGTCATAAGTCACACCTGAGTTAGTAATTTAATTATTTAAAGTATTTAAGTCAGTGATGAGAATATATTAGAAATGTGCACTTAGTCAATTCAATGTTAAGTAACCTCTAGCTTTTTTCAAAGGCGAAGTCCTGTTTTAACAAGACTGTTAAACCATTAAATGAACTCAGTCATTTCCCTTAATGTTTTAAAAAAAAACTATTTAATTTCTATATTATCATAAGGTGTTATATATACACTGACATTTCACAAAGATACTATTTTAGCACCAAAAAATTTAAATTACTAGATTATTTTATTGTATCCAGTTAGAATGACATTAATATTACCTTCCTCTCTGAGCCTTGAAATACATATACTCTATGAAATTATGGAAACAAAATACTGTTAAGATCTTATTTCCTAAAGAGAGAAAAATCAGATTTATCAGTGGCTTAAAATTCGTGAAGGATAATTTAATCAGTGATCATTCATGTATGAAAAGTAAGCTAATATGAAAGAATCAAATTTTATTAATGAATTAATGTCTGTGTGGATTGTTTTGCTCAATATGTGGTCAAAGTTAGTATAATGAATCTATGTGATATATTTAGAGTCTAGTAGGGGAGAAATACTAGGAGGAGCTAATCCTTGTAGAGGGAAATGCTACTGGGAAGAATAGAGGGTCAGAAGGAGAGGAAGACCCTCAACCAGGTGGACTGACTCATTGGGCTCTTGTGTGTGTGTGTGAGGATGGCACAGGATAGAACAGAGTTCAGATATTTTGCTCATAGGGTCAATAGGAGTCATACTCAACTAGACCACCTAACAACAACAAAAAAAAATAAGGACGTTGAGCTGAACAGAAGATTTCAAAAGGTGACTCTGCAAGACAAAAGTATTATAACAAAATGTGCAAATAATGGAGTCAGAGAATCAAAAGGAAGAAACTTGCTTGGCACTTTTTAAACTGAAGGAACTGAAGCACAAATTTAAGCCTTGAGTCGCAATACTTAGGATGTGCTCACCAAGTTCTACCAAGAAATTTGGAAGACAGCTACCTGGCCAGCTGACTGGAAGAACCCCCATTCCCCAAAACCCTGTTCTGACAGTGTGGAAATTATCAAACAATCATGACTGATACAATACACAAGCAAAATCTCGCTGAAGATATCCAAAATCAACTGGAACAGTACAATTACTAGAAGTATAGGCTTGGTTTAGCAGAAGCTGTGGAATTAGGGGCATCACTGACGATGTCAAATGGATCCTGGCTGAAAGCAGAGAGCATCAGAAGAACGCTTATCTTGTTTCAAAGGCATCTGACTGTGGATCACAACAAACTGGCCAACTCTGAAAAGAATGGGAATCCCAGCTGTGCTCATGCAAAAACTTTACTTGGACTGGGAAGTAGTCGTGAGAACAGAGCAAGGAAACACTGCATGGTTCACAATCAGGAATAGAGAGTGTCAGGGATGTGGACCACCTCCATACCTTTTCAATGTATATATGGAACAGACCATTCAGGAGACTTGTCTTTATGTGGGGGAACATGGCATCAGAATTGGAGAAGAATCATCAGCAACTTGTGCTATGCAGATGATACACCTTGCCTGCTGAAACTGAGCAGGACCCAAAGTATCTTCTGTGGAAAGTCAAGGACTGCAGCCTTCAATATGGATGAAGCTCAACATCAAGAAAACAAAGATTCTCACCACTGGGCCAACTGGCAGCACCATGACAGATGAAGACATTGAGAGTCAACAATTTCAGCTTGTTCTGGTCCCCAATCAACACTCTTGGAACTAGCAGCCAGGAAATAAAAGTCTGCTGTCAGGGACCTCTCCAGAGTGCTGGAGTGCAAAGATGTCAATCTAGAAACCAAGATGTACTTGATCTAGGCCATGGCCTTTATAATTACTTACTATATATGCATTAAGAGCTGGACAATGAATAAGGATGACAGAATTGTTGCCTTTGATTTGTGCTAAAGAAGAGTACTGAACATACCCTGGACTGTGAAGAGAACAAACAGGTCTGTCCCAGAGAGGGTGAAACCACTCTGCTCTCTGTAGGAAAGGATTTTGAAGCTCCATCTCACATACTTGGGCATATGGCCAGAAGGGACCAGTCCTTGGAGAAGGACATCATGCATGTAAGGATGGAGGGGCAGTGTATAAGACGAAGACTGAATGAGATGGATTGACAGTGATTGGGATAACAGGTGCAGGTGTGTTGGAGACAGATTGGCTCAGGATAGGAGAGGGTTCAGAGCTATTATACATATAGTCACTATGAGTCACAGGCTACTTGAAGGCATATAACAACAATAGTCACCCTGATATTAAGTCTATTCCTATTCGTGGCTGCATAGCTAAACAGTGGCAGACTCTCATTTTTTTCTACCATGGCAGGACAGGTGGAATTGAACATATGACCTTTCTGTTAGCAACCCAATACATAACCCACTATTTCCTCAGTTAGTAGTAGAGAATTAATTTAGAATAGGGTTAGTGTGCATCCTAAACTCTATTAATAATTTCTAGGAAAGCTTTAGTTCTTAGTGGTAAAATCTTGAATTGCTAACCCAAAGACAAGTGGTTGAAATCCACCACAGGAGGAGATAAGTAATCTCTTCCCATGTGATTTGCTCCTTTTGAAAACACAATGGAGGGTCAGATATTAGTAGATAAAAACTATCAACAACTTATATTACTTGCTAACCAGGTTTATGCATTTCTAGTTGTATTAATCTCAGTGATAATACTCTAGTTTTGTAGAGGTGTACCCTGTTGATAAAGGTATAACATTTCAGTATTCTGGAGAGAGGTTAAGTTCAGAAATAAACTTATTGCTTTGAGTTACTGTTAAGTTGGTTCTGGACTTAATGGCAACCCCATGCACAACAAACCAAAACAATGCCTGATTTTACACTTATTCAAGATTTTCCTTTATAGAGGAAAGAATACCAGGTTGCCATAAGATTTACCTGAAGGTTAATAACAGGTATAACATGGGATACCTTGTGTGCTAGGCAGAAAAGTGGGTAAGAATATGGGCTTTATATTGAACCACTAATTTGTAACTGATTTCCATTCTTGCATAGCCACTTGAGAGTTGGAAACAGGTTCTTTAACCACTCTGCTTCTGTTTACTTGTCATGAGATAAGGAAGCTAATAATAGAACCTACACCTCATAATGTGAGTATGAAAAGACTTAGAATAATATCTGAGACTTAGTAGATGTTAACTATTCTAACTATTAATATTAATAGATGTTATTATTTTAAATTCAGGCTTATTAAAGGGAATGTAGGCAAAAAATTTCAAACCATGCAATTATAGTGTGATAGCAATGTTGTTGTTATGTTCTTTTGAGTTAGAAATGACTGAAGATTGACTCTTTAGTGAATTTTCATAGGCAGTTTAATCACATGTGAAGAGATTGCCCATTATTCTGTGAACAGCTGGTGGACTCAAACCATGTGAAGCTCCTTACCACTAGACCACTTAAGAAATGGTAAGGTTACAATTAAATCAGCTGTATTAAGGTTGTCTAGGTTGTAGGCAGGTCTAAAAATTAAAAAGGAAGGTTTTAAATTCATCTCAATTTGGCTGTTGAATCACAACCTTAAAATAGCTTTGCAAGTTCAGAAAAGTCTGGCTCAGACTCCAAGGCACTATTAAGCTATGTCACAATATAGGCAACCAAGTGTGACGTTCTTTTATTGAAAGGACAGATGTTTTAACAAACTCAAATTAGTGATTAGCTCACTTGAGCAGTGGCTACTCAACCAACCTCACTCTAGAGAAATAACACATACAAACCTCTTCCAGGGTTTCTTCAGACTTGATTTCTTTGGGTTTGTCGTCATTAACTTTCACATTTTTCACCTGTTCCGACACCTTGTTTATACTTTCAGTACCTTTGAAACGCTGTAAGGAAAATGTTCTCACACTTATGTTCAGGATAAGCAAAAAAAGAAAAAGGACATCTAGATTTTCAACTTTTCAATTAAATGAACATCTGCATCATGAATATAGGCACAAAATTAAAATCTGAGTAGCTTAAGGATATTACCTAAGAAAAAGGAAGAATTTTTTGTTAATTTTTAATCAATAAATTATGACCCTCAAACTATCTATCTCATAAAATCTGAAATAACTGATATTTAGAAAGGTCACTTAGTTAGAAATACTGGTCCTTATATAAACGTTCAATTTCTCTGGATTTCAGTTTTAAAATATTAGACGTTTAAAAAACAATTCTACTGTTACAAATTCAAGGAATTTTTAATTCATGGGAAAAAGACCCTCATTCAACACCCTACTATCCAGAACAGGAAATAATCCACCCTTATGGCGAAGAATATATTTTTTTTTAATGATACCAAGTATCTTAAATTAAATAAAAAGTAGTAAACGTGCTAAATACAATAAAAACCATTTAAACATATGTTCTAAAATGATTCATATATAACACTCTGAGATGTTAAATTTAACTGTTTAAAAGCGATATATGATTAGGTATTATCATGACAGGAGTCCAGAATGAAGGCTACATAGTGGAGTGGACCTGGGGGGGAGGTATTGTATAAATTCTTTTACTTTTCAAAGAGAAGAGCGAATTTGTGGGTGGGAGGAGGCAGGCAGGGAGAAAAATGCAATAATGAATGAATGGAAATCCA